GAGAGAGAGAGAGAGAGAGAGAGACAGAGAGAGAGAGAGGGAGAGAGAGAGTGAGAAAGAGAGAAAGATAAAGGCAGAGAGAAAAAGACAATGATAGAAAGAGCAAAAAGGACAGAGATGGAGTGAGAGTTAGAGAGAGAGAGAGAGAGAGAGAGAGAGAGAGAGAGAGAGAGAGAGAGAGAGAGAGAGAGAGAGAGAAAGCGACAGAAAACGATGGACAGACGGGATGCCAGTACATGTACTTCCCTGTCGCTCGTGAATGTCGCTAAGACCGCAGGATGACTCAGAGGAGCGCGTATTTGATCAGCGGAACTGGCCTCTATGTGGCCAAACCGAGCAAACAGACGAGATATATCGTGTACATTCTCAGCCAAACACTCGGCCAGACTCAATGAGACACTTTGGATCCGTTACGAGGAAGTCTGCTGACATAATCTATTTTAGCGTATTTACCACCTGCAGTCGATTATCCAGCGTTTCTTTCGTTCAAATGATAAAGTATAACGGCCTAGTCGATGCAAAAATAAATCTTCCCAACAGTATATCATTTATGCCAACGCCAGGACTCTAGGATAGTAAGAAGATTTCACGAGACGATGAGAACAATTCAAGGCTCAATCTTATTCGAACTTCAGTGTGTTGACCAACTTGGTTCAACTAACTAGCACCCAGTATTTCATTTATCCCTTCACTGATATTCTCGGGCATTCTTTATCAGTTAAAATCCATTTGTTGTTTTTTCTTTTATTTGACCTTTTAATGTAAATTGTTCTTTCAGGTCATATCTAAAATAACAAGCATATAATATAAAGTGATGCGAAAAGACGTTTGAAGAAGTTGTTCATCACCAGAGCCCGTTTGAAAAGAAATTCTGCATTAAAATGAGAGGACACAAAAAGCATGCAACAGCGAAGCACCGCTACATCACAGATGCCTGTATACATGTATTCGGACAATCTCTGGGTATTTATTGGATGGTTGGTGAGCGCTTTCGTGTAAGCTGGTCCTTGTATTCTCCTCATCTGTGCTATTATCATAACACTCTGTTCTTGAAGCAAGGTGCGCATGCGGTTTGACGTTTATGTGTTTGTTACTCTCTTGTAGCACCTCTAATATTCGACACTTGTGTTGCAAGTGGCGTAAAACTATTTCTAAAAAAAAGGAAAAGAAAAACGTTTTTGAAGCAAGAAGCACAATAGCTTAACTCGGCGCAAACTACATACGTATGTCTCCTCTGGACTCAATGCCCCTAACTGCACGGACTCTAAGACGACATTTCTACCTCCATGTATTCAACCTGTAAGATTAGATCTCTTTTCACAACTCTCAGCTTTTTTCACAACTCCCAGCTCATCTTAATGGTCAGAACTAAAGACCGTCTAAGTTTTCTTTTCTCTCTTGTTTGTCTACTTGTCTCTCCGCCGTGTGTATGCTAAAGCGTCAATCGAATACCAGCGAAATGTAATTCCTTTGCCAACGATCTGTTTTCCCGAGAGATCCGAGGCGTTTGCCTATTGTCAGTGAACAAAAGCTTATTTGACGGACAAAAATGTGGTAAAGCCCGTTAACAGTGGTGGGTCCGAGTTCAGGAGAAAGGATAGCGACTTCATGTAAGGTTACACGCTACTAAATGTTTTTTTTTTCGGTGTTTGTTTCCCTTAAATGCAGAGGCCCATCTCTCTCTCTCTCTCTCTCTCTCTCTCTCTC